TATTGAAGTATTTCTTCTGATTGTTGAACAATCATCAACAAAATGATTTTATATCTCTACGTGACTGATGCACAACGTTGCTGTATTGGAAAAATTATGCAATTGGTATCTCTTTTGATCAGCCCACTAAGGAAATTTTAATGCTAATTAATGTGGTAAGCTCATGCGTCATTCTTTATCCAGACCTTTCAGAATGTTGTATCTGTATTTTATCCCAGTGAAAACTTATTTGCACTGTTTTATTATAATCAAAACATTTCATATTTCAGGGAATCGGCGAACCGCCATTATTTTTAGCTTGTTCAGCCTTGTTTGCAATCAAGGCGGCTATTCGTGCAGCGCGAATTGAAGCTGGATACTCAAAAACATTCCGATTGGATAGTCCCGCTACTTCATGTAGAATTAGAATGGCGTGTCAGGACCAGTTTACCGAACAGGTACATTAACATTTAATTTTATTTATATCGACAGGTGTTTCCTTAGTTTTGTTTGGGATTTCGGTCAATAATATTTATTGTCTAGTTTTAAAAAACTTTAGTTCCGGCTGTCTTCACCGAAGTGCTTCGATGCCCGTCAAATAATATTATTATTTTTTGACACACTCAGTAGATGAATAATGATAATATTGTTAATAAATAGATGAATGATAGCTACAGTGGAAATAAAATACAATAGTAAGAAGCAAAATGAATAAAATTAGTTTGTCAATTGTCTTTTAAAATTACGTGTCTCTATCAATTTCATCAATTTAAAAAAAAAGACTGTTCCATAAATTTGGCGAGTGTGTATTAACAGATCTGTCGTTTTACTTTACGGGGTTTTAATAAAAGATCATTATTTGTTATCTCTTCATTATATAAATGTGTTCTATTTTAGTAACCGTTGTATAAATGTGATATTTAATATTACAGTAGCCATTCTATAAATGTATTATTTAATATTAATTAACCGTTATATAAATGTACAGTAACCATTGTGTAAATGTGTTATTTGATATTGCAATAACCATTGTATCGATAGTAATCGTTTTATAAATGTGTTATTTCCAGTTTCCACCAGCCGAGAAGGGAACCTACAAACCTTGGTATGTGGATTTGTAGCCAGTGGGACCAACTTTAGTATTAAACTATCGAAAAAAATTATATACCGTATAATGTTATTCCCTATATAACCGGCATTATGTATGATAGTATAAATTTGGTATAAAGATAACATTCCTATATACATGTATTATTATCTTCTATTTCTGTTATTTGGTGATCTGTACGATTACGCCCGAACGTTCGTTTTAAAACCAGCTTTATCATTCGTGTACATGTATCTGTGAAGGCTAAAGTTTATAAATGTTTTCATGGATTATTTTGGCCACAAATGTCATATAAATCATTATTTAGAATTTATTCACCTGTCAAGCCCACAATCAACTCTCTAGATTATCGGATGGTTGATATTTTTTAACGGATTTAACACGACCGCAAGTTAATAATTTAATTTAAAAAATGAATAATCGAGACTTTTTTTTATTGTCAGCTCCTTATAGAAATCTTACATAATGCTTCTTTAAAGTATTTAAAGTTTGTATTTTTTATTTCATTGCTTGAAACTTTTAAACAGCCCATTCTCCATTTCGAAGTAGGTTGTTTGGGAGAGTTTCATTGCATACATAACGGACACGGAAAAATTATTTCATATTGTTAGTGTACCAAGGCCATCCTTAATCCGTTATAATAAAGATTTATATTGAAGAATTTGTACCCAATACAGCTGATAATTTCAGTCAATTTAAAAAAAATGTTTGATCCAGTCCATTTTTGGACACCGTCATTTGAGCCTAAGGGGGCCATACGCAGCAACTGGACCCCGGCAGACATCCATATCTGAATATATTAGGTTACACAGTAACACGGTTACCCGGATATTAGTACCTTGTTCGTTTGACCAAAATGCTCTGGGCTGCCGGTCTATTAGTTTCCGCATGGGAACTCTCTTTTTAATCTTTTATGACAGGTTTCGATTTTTGAAAACTTTTCAGTAACGTATCTGTTTAGTTTGGGGGTTAATAGCCTCACTCTTTGTTTGAACACTTTCTTATTAGGTAATCATAAACAAATTATTAACATTACTGTCCGATTTAATAAAACAATTTATGGAAAAGCAGTTTAATGTTTTATTTGTTTCAAATTTACACAGGCTGGATTGCATTTCTTTCTTTCAATAATTTATTGCATTTTGCTTTTCATCAAAGCCAGAACAATCACACTCCGCACAGCTGTCACGTCTATAGCTAAAACAATAACCCTGGTAGTCAGCAATAATATCGTCGATCACCGGTTTTACCGATTTGAGTTTGGGCGTAGTTATCCTCAGGATAGTTAAAGATGTTTTGACAGCTGGGTGCATGATTTCTCCGGTTTTTGTTAATGTTATTGTTATAATCAACCAGGAGAACAGGATCTGGATTACGATTGGTAGGTCATGAGGTCATATGGTTTGGGCTGCCAGGTGGCATTGTAGACATGGCATAGGGCTTATGATCTTTTATTAGGAAAGGGAAACAATGTTTTTGTCCATGGTTTACAGTGCAGCCATTTTACAACCAGCGTTGGAGCTGGTAAAATAATTCGAACAGCTAAAAACAAAGCAGTTAGACATGGCAATTGTGTTTGTTTACATAGAAACACATTAACGGTTTGCCATGCACGCACGAAACTTCTAAATGGTATATTGCTCAAAATCATATTTTAACTTTTACACAACAATGTCTGTTACTCCATCGTCTTTTATTTGATTTTATTACATTTCATTTATTAGTATTACCAAGCCTAGTCTACATTAGCCTACTCGGTGTAGAAAAGTAGGACGTAAACCCCCATTTCATTTCATCGGTTTAGAATTTGATTTAAATTGTTTTACATTTCCATCGAAAGTACTCAGTGGGGTATATAAACTTATTACTGAAAGTAATTTTTTATATCGAAATCGTTCCAGTTCAGTGAATGTTTTATTGCTTCGTTCCATTTCATTTAAAGCAAACTTATAGTGTTTAAAGAACAGGTAGAGAGAGTATACCAGTCCAAAATTACATCGTTTTAATTCACACATATTCCTATTAAAATTCTCTTTTAACAGGGTTAGAGATTAAAACTATTATGAGCTTTTCTCGTAATTAAACCCATTGTTTAACCTTAATTTTATAACTTGGCAGAGTTACCTTTAGTGATTAAGACGGACAGTTAATCTGAGGCAGAACTATTGCTAAATTAAAACAATAGGCTGGCTAATCCAATTAAGGCTGGCAGGTTAATTGGGATTGAGCAGTGACGCTTAAATTAATCTGTATACTGAGTAATCGTAGGCCCATATTACATTCCATGTCATGGAAACCTCAACTGTATTCTGGGACACACGAATTAGGTATATAAGTTCATGTTGCCTCTGAGATTCTCACCTTGGCAATTAAGTAATCCAACCACCAACACTTACCAAACAAACACGTTAACCAAATAGAAGCTAGAAAACTAGCAATGGAACTACTAGACTCAAAATGGAGTAACCATCTCAAGATTTTCACAGATGGATCCAAAAGATTCTACAAAAGGAGCGACAGGATTCGGCATATGCATACCCAAAGTAAAGCTGAACATCAGGAAAAGGTTACCAGAACACTGTTCTGTGTACACCACGGAACTGATGGCCATCAAAACTGCACTGGAATGGCTAGCTACGCAAACACACCAAAAGGCCGTAATCCTGTCTGACTCCCTGAGTAGCATTAAAACTGTAGAATCAAAATCCTCAAAAAAACAGGCCAATCAATTCACCAAGTCAGGGACATCATTCAAAAAATTAAAAACAGTGGGAGGGAAGTGATCCTTGCATGGACCCCTTCTCATGTCAATATCCTGGGAAACGAACAAGCCGACAAGCTGGCGAAGGAGGGTCTGTCACTAAATGAAATAGAAAATTTAGAATATAGCAGTCAGGAATTTGCAAGCATAGCAAAAGAGAAGATTAAAAATGCATGGAAATCCCGTCTAAAACAAGAAAACACACATCGCTATCAAATAGATGGCAATCTTGTAGACAAGGTTTACATTAATCATCCTTCAATCAAAATATGCAAACTCATCACGAGGCTTAAAACAACGGATGTATTCGGAGACTACACCAATAAAATGCCCGTGTGGACAAATTGCAACCACCTCACACTTGCCAATCAAAGAACGTCAATCAATGACCGACAAACTGACAGAGAGGGGAAAAACCTTCTGTCTCCACTCTCTCCTTTCTCCACAACCTGATGATAGATATTGGACATCTCAGCTTTTCTGGGATTTCATTGAGAAAATAGGCATGACCAAACACATACATATAATAATAAAACTAATCAATTAAAAGAGTAGGGTGGAGCGTAAAAATGCCCCCTAGAGGGTAACGTCAACCGCCCTGATAAAATTAATGAATTAAAAATACACTTTGTAGGACGGAGCGTAAAAACGTCCCCTAGAGGAAAACGCCAACCGTCCTACACCACTAATAAAAACCTCAAACAAATGAATCAGGGTGTTAGTATTATTGTGTTTTATCATCTATTAATAAATATTGACTGTAGATTATATTAACTTGCCACAAATGCAATTCTTGAGTAATTTGAGTAATTTATTATTCTTATTATTTGTTTATAACTCATTTGAGCAATTTCTTTTTCTCCGTTTATTACATATATACCAGATACTCTCTTTTTTTCCTCTCTTTTCTTTTCAGGTGCTGGATTCTTCCTTCAGAGAACCAACAACAAATGAATGAACAAAAGAAATAAAGACGAAACCAACCACCATACCGGACAACAAAACCAAATGGAAGGAAGAATGGCCCAGGTCACACACTCAGCAACAAGCCCCAAGGATGAGTTGCACCGCCCTGCTATTCAACCGGACAAATCAACCAGACCGACGAAAACGACCAATATATATATATATATATATATATATATATATATATATATATATATATAATTAAGAAACCCCAAGAAACCCCCAAAATCAGAATTGGACAAGAGGACTATTTGGAGATTCTACTTTTGGTAAGCTTATTCACTTACTGAAATGAACAGACAAAAAATTGTCTATTTTTTATTCCATAATAAATGTAAGGTTTACGCTTCAATAAGTCTGTTAGCCTTTGGATGATTATTATTGGTTACAAACAAGACCAGATGCATTTTCTACAATACAAAAATATGCTCGTGTTGCATAATTCATATAATTCAAAGATGTTTTAATTAAAATTATGTTTAATTCACCTGTTACGTACTTTAGTGGGAGCCTTATCTAAGAAAATTCCAGAAAACGACCCTTTAATATCAACATACTATTTGTGATGACCATACATTAAAATACAAACCTTGTGTTGTTACCTAGCATCCGTGCATTTTTTAAACTTTAAAAACAAACGATTAATTACGCAGATTAGACGGAAGCCTGAACAACACACTTTTCCAATGTAGGACTGGACACGGTGAATCAACTTCAAAACACATAGATACGAGTATTAATTAAATTCATACAGATGATATATTATCATCATGATGACAGTAATAACGGAAAAAATGAAATGGTAGCCTGCTGTGTTCATCATAACGTATGTAAATGTAATGCTGTATAAATTTTGTCATTGTTTTATTTTCAATTGTTGGATTCATATATTGTCACTCAGTCACGTCTGGTATGATAAGGATAGAACATCCAGGCAACGTAGAAATAATAGACTGACGTGTTGGTCAACCGGTAGGTAATGCTGCATAAATTGTCATTGTGTCCTCTTTTTATTATTGAATAGATAGATATATTGTCATTATTTTTTCATTTTTACCGATCATGAGTTTCCATCATATTTGTCTTAAAAATATGACCATATTTGTATTTCCCAAACGATCAACGGACAAATCGACCAGACATGTACGATATTAGCTTTTTGATGGGGTTTATTTCAGTAACTGTCGTAAAATTAACATCATGATCTATACAAATTTCAAAGCTAAATCTCATGACTATTTTCGAAGATAAATGCATACGTTATATACCAAGAACAGTTCTAATTATACTGTTTTATTTATGCAAGATGGGTGATGTGAATAATAAAAAAAAAGATTTTCAAAAAGGAAAGGCGTTTTGAAATTAAAGAGCTCTTTATTCTATGTTTTAAAAAGCACGGGATATTAAGGAACGTTTAATTAATATCATTAATTATAGTAGCTAAGTCTTTAACTCCATATCATCCAAAGTCTTCGACACTGAAAACACGAATTATTTGTCAATTTAAATCAACATTGGTGTTGTTATCGTATCGTGAAAAGATGGCCTTCTGATATCCAATATTAAGACAAAATAAACATTTTACCATTGGTACACGAATCGTGTACAATCGTGTACCATAATGCGTTTCAGCGCCATTTGTACTAAGGGATTCGAAGAACGAGGCTAAACATATTCCACAAGTCACAAAACGGGGAGGCCATTTTCTTATCTGGAGAGCAAGCGCAATAAATACTATCGGTGTAAACTCGTATAACCAGACGCTAGAGATTGCCATTCGATTGACACTTCAGGCGTATTTCGCCGAACATAACTGATTTGAAATTCGAGTAAAAACGGAAACGATTGAATGTAAATCAGTTTATAGACATTCATATAACATTATTATATGCGTTGCGACCCATTTGTGGCAATTTCTAGGTCCCAAATATTAACGATTTGGCTCCTTTAAATTTCATTGGAGTTTCTAATATCAAGCTATTAAGGAACGTTTACTTTTTAAACATCTAGATGTACATTACACATGGGAGTATATCGTCACTACCGTCCACCAGTTTGCAAACTCAACAAATTGTTCTGTAAGCAGTAATGAGGGGTCCTATTAAGATTCAGAGTCACATATTGTTATTTGTATAATTAATGTTCTTGCCACCAAAACCTTGTAAAAGCTCTACAGGCCACAGTTTTGAAATGATATTATAAACATTATGAGCCGCGATGATGAATCTTATTAAAAAAAAAATAAGTAGATGGCTGGCATTGCCCTTGCCTCAAAAACAATGCTTTTGTGTAAGAAGTTTTCAGGCTGGTATGTTTTAAGTGTACCATAGACCATTCCGATCATAACAATACCATTCATTTCCATGACATCTGATAAGATATTGTCTAATCCCATTGTCTTTGTTAATGTAATTACATACGATATGACACGGACAGAGAGAGAGAGAGAGAGAGAAAGATATGTAGATGCAACCGCTGTGTACAATTAAGCAAGATAATTACTTATTTTGCCAATAACGTATATTGTATCTCCCAGAATACAGAATATGAGGAAGATACCTATTGAGTTTAACGGTCAAATGTCAAACTCATCATCCACATTGGCATTTTTATACGTCCACATTTATGTGTGGGTGTTGTGTGTCGTCTCCCAGTTCGTTGGTCCGTCCGTCCGTCAACAATTACTTGTGATACAAGTTGTGAACGCGAATTTTTACGAATTTTCGTAAAATGTGGCGTGGAGCATCATGACATGAAGAACTCCATCGATATTCAACGTTCGGCGTCTTTCTTTTTCGCCCCCCCCCCCTTGTTGACAACACCGTGAAAAGGTTAGAGGCTTCAGTTCTTAACAAAGCTTGTTTATTTGTTTTTTTTTACTTCCGATGACCTTCGCTACATTTATATACATGACCCGTTGACTATTTGTTTTAATTATCAGCATGGTTCCGAAATCAACCTCCCGTTGAACCTTGATAAGGTGACACTGTAAAATGTTATATTTGAAAAGTTGTGCATTTATGTCATTAAAATAATTTAAAAAGAATTTCGCCAGGAAGATATAATTAAAGCATGCCTTCTATGATTTATTCCAGAGTTTAATATCCAGGATGCGGCTATTCATTGAAAGTATTGCACTGACAGAAATCAAGGAACAACTAAAACAAATATTACAATTAGCATGGATAACGATGATAACACAGTTTATGATAGTATTACCAACTATTTCTTCTCTAATAATAGCCGGACATCTGAGTAAAGAGAGCCTGGCTGCTACAGGAATGGGAATTACGGTTTTAAACGTTATGGCCTTTGTCGTCATCATTGGATTATCAACAGCCTCAGAAATACTTTTTGCACAAACAAACGGCAGTTCTAACAGATCCTTGCTGGGTATCACCGTACAAAAGAGTTTACTGATAAAGACACTTGCCACCTTTCTGCTGAGTTCAATTCTTGTTCACACAAACTCGATATTGTTATTGCTTGGTCAAACAGAGGAGATTTCGCAGATGACCCACGAGTTTATCTTGACTTGTATACCAGGCATGTTTGGATTTACAGTATTGATGGTAGAAATAAAGTACCTACAAGCACAAAAAATAGTAAAGCCATGTCTAGTAACTGGTGTATTAGCCAATGCTCTACACGTTTGCTATAACTTAGCTTTTGTATATGGATTAAAAATAGGGATTGTTGGGTGTGGAATAGCTTTAAGTTTAACGTTTTGGGTTTGGGCTTTGTTTTTATTTGCATACATAAAGATTTCTAAGATATACAAAGACACGTGGGCTGGATTGCATTTTGATTGTCTGAGAAATTGGGGCTCCTTTTTAAAATATGGATTACCAGGTATGTTAATGCTTCAGATAGAAATGATCTGTTTTGAAATTTATGCAATATTATCTGGTCTTCTGGGGCCCGTTCAGTTGGCAATTCATATTATTGCAAATGAGGTTGTTAATGTGTTCTTCAATGCAGTTTTTGGAATTACTACAGGAGCTACAGTTCAGATAGCAAATCATTTAGGTGACGGTAATATTCGGAAAGCCAAGATTGCAACTTTATTGACTATATTGTTAGCAGTTGTTATTCCCGCGCTGAATTCATTTATTCTGCTCTCCTTTCATAGTGTTATACCATTTATTTTCAGCAACGACCAAAACGTTATTTCTTTGGCGAAACCTTTATTACTAATTGTATGCTTCGAGGTTATATTTGACGGTATGATGATAATTGAAGGGGGTATCTTACGGGCTTTGGGGAAACATTTTTATGGGGCTGTTATTAATGTTTGCTTCCTGGGAATCCTCTCTATACCAATGGCAGTATATCTTATGTTTTGGACCTCTTTGCACGTTATGGGAGCTTGGATCACTCTGAGTTGTAGTACATGTATTATTGCAACATGTTTTTTTATTAAGATATGTTTTACAGACTGGGAACAAGAAATTAAGCGTGCCCAGTTTAATGCTGGTGTGCAAGATGCGACTCGTGAAAGTAAAGAAAATACTTTACTTATTGATCAATCAAACTACATGTTTTCAAAAACCACAATCGTCATAATGCGTTCAATCCAAGCCTCTCTTTGTGTTTCTATTTTCATTGTATCAAGCGTATTCAGTTATTTCTAATTCTTGTTAGAACCCAACAATACAAGAATCAATTTAATATTTTGAAAAATATAATTTATAATTTTAAAATATATAATTAATAATTTTTGAAAACATGATTTTTGATTCTGAAAAATATAATTTATGATTCTGAAAAATATAATTTATGATTTTGAAAAATATAATTTATGATATTGAGAAATATAATTTATGATATTAAAAATAATAATTTAATTAGTAATTTTAAAAATTAATTTGCAATTTTAAAAATTAATTTGCAATTTTAAAAATTAATTTGTTATTTTAAAAATTAATTTGTAATTTTAAAAATTAATTTGTAATTTTAAAAATTAATTTGTAATTTTAAAAATTAATTTGTAATTTTAAAAATTAATTTGTAATTTTAAAAATTAATTTGTAATTTTCAAAATTAATTTGTAATTTTAAAAATTAATTTGCAAATTAATTTTCAAAATTATTAATTAATTTTCAAAATTATTAATTAATTTTCAAAATTATTAATTAATTTGCAAAATTATTAATTAATTTGCAAAATTATTAATTAATTTGCAAAATTATTAATTAATTTGCAAAATTATTAATTAATTTGCAAAATTATTAATTAATTTTCAAAATTATTAATTAATTTTCAAAATTATTAATTAATTTTCAAAATTATTAATTAATTTTCAAAATTATTAATTAATTTTCAAAATTATTAATTAATTTTCAAAATTATCAATTAATTTTCAAAATTATCAATTAATTTTCAAAATTATCAATTAATTTTCAAAATTATCAATTAATTTTCAAAATTATCAATTAATTTTCAAAATTATCAATTAATTTTCAAAATTATCAATTAATTTTCAAAATTATCAATTAATCTCGGCCCACGTGATCCCGGTAGGTCAAGGTCACTTGAAAGGGTCGAGGTCACCGATATATCACCTGGTGCGGCTCCGAGCCCGCGTGGCAAACCAAAGTTCCTGACCTTAGATGGAAAGCTTATTGATCTTTCGAATGGGTCCTTGACCTTTCGAATGGGTCCTTGACCTTTCGAATGGGTCCTTGACCTTGGGTCGAAAAGGTCCACAAACTTATTGTACCACCTAGACTTAGGTAAAGCGTCACATTTAAAAAAAACCCGCGCGCAAGGTCATCTGATCGGACCAGGACTTGGTGACCTGATAGATCGACCCCTCATTTGTTCTTCATACCTTAACGAAAGGTCATCTGATCGACAACCAAAACTTATGTCGATAAGTTCAAGGTCAAGGCCAATTCTACTTAAGATGGGTCACGGGGCTGTCACATGGACCCAAGTTCATGACCTTAGCTGACCTCTCCCGCCTCCGGTAGCGCGCTACTTTTTCCAGGTAATTTAGAACCCACCGACGCTTTACCTTTTTCTGTAAACACCCACAAGGGCCCACGGGTGGGCCACCCGTTTGACTATTCTTGAACTATATCTATCCCGGAAAGTTGCCTGATACCCTCAAAATGAACTTCCGGTGACAGGAAGAGGGCGATACAGACCCATAAAGTGTCAGTTGACCTGACCTTGACCTCTAAGGGTCAATTTACCTAACCATAGTTGGTTCCGTGGGAAACAGACTATCATGTCGTAAGCAAATCTATTAAAAAGCCCAAACCAGCCATTTAAGATTTCGATATAATTGGGTTCCGGAAAGATACCATCTGAGTTCCTAGAGACTGCCTCTGAATTTTCAGAGTGGGTAGACATCGCCTTGGTCTTTAGACAAACATACGTTGTAGCCGTTTCCTGAGTCTAGCTATGCTGGTTAGACTTTTACAGGAGTTGAGGTTGAGAGAAATATGTTAAAGGACAATATTGGTGTCAGTCATTATCACATATGTGATAGAACTAATTAAACACGTTCCAAATATAATTTTAACACAGAGATCATTGCTACGAAAAATACAGGTTTCCTGAACCGGAAGTGACGAACGCCAAAGGAAAACACGAGGCATCCCTCTATATAACTGACTGAAGTGACGATATCTACTGTAGAATGTATTATTGGGTGATAAAACGTGTTATTGTCTGCGATATCACCTCGGTGGAAGCGGACGTAAAATACAACTAACTAACAACAACTGAGATTCTCATAATACACTTTACCAACGATTAAAACAACTGTCTTCTTGTCATTTAAAGTAAGCCAAAGTTAATGTACTATTTCTACCTTGTTCTCTATTTTGAAAATTGAACTTGTTCGTTTATATAATTATTCGCCTTTAGTTATCAAGTTATATATATTAATTATTACGTTCTCGTTCGAATGATGCGATAAGTAGACACGTTTTTATTTATTCTACAAAAGCAATTAAATCGATATCATCGATGCCGTAGAGTAATCCATAAACTCCTTTGCATATAAGTTTGTGTTGCAAGTAATAGTCAACGGTATAGTTTAATAATTAATAGTGTCGATATTCCATTTCATTATTATCGATTCAAACATATATGACGTAATATATGAAGACATGTAAATCGTGCACATGTAAATACAATCTGTTTCACAGAGAATTACGAGTCTAGTAATATATCTCTGTCAAAGATGACTGCCTTAACACGTGCCGTCACAGCACGCGGCGTCAATCATTGGGTGAATGGCGCGTGCATTGTTTACATAAGACGTTACTGCGTCGGAGAGAATGCTGCATTTTAGTCATTTTAATACCCATTTACACTAAATAGGAAATAACTTTACCTACAAATACGTCAAACGCCTTTATTTATTTTTCCAATACATAAAAAAAATGTTTTAGAATTTAATTTGTCGCAGGAAAAAAGTTAATATTAAAGGCTCATTAAGCTGCATCGATGTCATCCTTATCAGTGATGGTAGCGGCCTAGCAAATATTCACTGCGGATCAGTGTGATGTAAATAGTGCCTCTTCACATGCCGTAGACTGGAATAGCAAGCCTGCTTCTACAGCGCTTGATATCCGTGTCTACGTATAAGCGAGTATCCCAAATAATTGTTTAAATCCCCCAATTTATAATTACTTCTTGTTTATCTAGTTTATATATATGTTATATTGCTCTTTTGTTACTTGTAATATACTTTACCAACGATTAAAACAAATGTCTTCTTGTCATTTAATTTAATTAAGAAACCCCAAGAAACCACCAAAATCAGACTTGCACAAGAGGACTATATGGAGATTCTACTTTTGGTAAGCTTATTCACTTCCTGAAATGAACAGACAAAAAATTGTCTTTTTTTTTATTCCATAATACACTTATACATGACCATGGCAGTTGACGTGAGTTTCCTGCCCTTTTTTTACACGTGAAACGTATGGTTTACGCTTCAATAAGTCTGTTAGCCTTTGGATGATTATTATTGGTTACAAACAAGACCAGGTGCATTTTCTACAATACAAAAATATGTTCGTGTTGCATAATTCATATAATTCAAAGATGCTTTAATTAAAATTATGTTTAATTCACCTGTTACGTACTTAGTGGGAGCCTTATCTAAGAAAATTCCAGAAAACGACCCTTTAATATCAACATACTATTTGGAGATGACCATACATTAAAATACAAACCTTGTGTTGTTACCTAGCATGTAACTAAAAACGCTGAGATATACTGATGTGCTTGTTTTAGCTACGATTGGATGCCTTTAGTTCCAAGTGTCAAACTCAATTTCTTTATTAATGTATGTGCCATCTTAAAAATAATTACACATACGCAGTCCAATCTACTTAAACAACATTCATTTATCGGCAAATATTGACAATAAAGTAAATCAAGCGTTGTTTTTATCAAAATTGATTCGGACGTTCATAATTACGCCGTAATACCTACTGCGCAACTCTGATCAGATGGGTACTTTGATTGGCTATTGGACACGAGGCCCCGCCTTTATGTGTTACAGACGTAAATTAAAAATGTCAGAAAAAGCAATCTACTGTCGCTTTGATTTAAAAAGAGGGGATTTGTACCCGTTCCAGGTAGGATTATATGCTTAATTGTAGTTGGGTGTGGCAGAAATATTATAAATAACAATAACCAATCGTTTAGGTGACAGTAATGCTCGGAAAGCCAAGATTGCAACTTTATTGACTATATTGTTAGTAGTTGTTATTCCCGCGCTGAATTCATTTATTCTGCTCTCCTTTCATAGTGTTATACCATTTATTTTCAGCAACGACCAAAACGTTATTTCTTTGGCGAAACCTTTATTATTAATTTTATGCTTCGAGGTTATATTTGACGGTATGATGATAATTGAAGGGGGGTATCTTACGGGCTTTGGGGAAACATTTTTATGGGGCTGTTATTAATGTTTGCTTCCTGGGAATCCTTTCTATACCAATGGCAGTATATTTTATGTTTTGGACCTCTTTGCACGTTATGGGAGCTTGGATCACTCTGAGTTGTAGTACATGTATTGTTGCAACATGTATTTTTTATTAAGATATGTTTTACAGACTGGGAACGAGAAATTAAGCGTGCCCAGTTTAATGCTGGTGTGCAAATTTCGACTCGTGAAAGTGAAGAAAATACTTTGATCAATCAAACTACATGTTTTCAAAAACCACAATCGTCATAATGCGTTCAATCCAAGCCTCTCTTTGTGTTTCTATTTTCATTGTATCAAGTGTATTCAGTTATTTCTAATTCTTGTTAGAACCCAACAATACAAAAATCAATTTAATATTTTGAAAAATGTAATTTATAATTTTAAAATATATAATTTATAATTTTAAAAAATATGATTTATGATTCTGAAAAATATAATTTATGATTTTGAAAAATATAATTTATGATATTGAGAAATATAATTTATGATATTGAGAAATATAATTTATGATATTGAGAAATATAATTTATGATATTAAAAATAATAATTTAATTTGTAAATTTCAAAATTATATTGTAATTTTAAAAATTATATTTATATTGTAATTTTAAAAATTATATTTATATTGTAATTTTAAAAATTAATTTTCAAAATTATTAATTAATTTTCAAAATTATTAATTAATTTTAAAAATTATTAATTAATTTTCAAAATTATTA